TTCCAACCTTAATGATTCTATGATTGTAAACCTATTTTATGTACATGCATTAGGTCTCATGATGGTGTCTTTACCAAATGCACTGTGTTTTGTGCTCCAAGAAGTTCAAATATGCATATTTTCAGAAGAAATGTAAAAAAGCATCATTTAAAGTCTGAAATCCTGCCAGTTGCTCTAAGCAGGTCAAAACAAGAGCTGTGACTCTCTTGGCAGCACATGACAGATAAAGTGCCACAGAAGAATAAGCAGCATGGTCTATCTGATTTACAGCCCAAAGGTACCGCTGTGAACTTCACAACCGTTTCCCGCAGCCGCCCCGGCGGAGGCCCCGACACTCACATCGGGGGGCCCCCCCGACACTCACATCCAAGAGGCTGGCGGGCTCCAGGCCGTACTGCTGGCTCCTCAGCAGCAGCTGCAGCCCTTCCAAGCTCCAGTCGGTGCCCTCCAACGGGTCTGAAATATCTGTTCTGAGAAAAGACAAGGGGACATATTGCCACGAATGAGACTTGCATAGATACATATAGAAAGCAGGCGTGAGCAGCCTTCCGATGTGAGGTTTATGCTTAAATCTCATTTTGAAAACCAAGAGCCCGCTGTCAGCCTGGGTTTATGCCATTGCACTTGGATTAATCCCAGAAGTACAACCCAGCAGAGCACAGAGAGGACTGGGCTGATTGTAAAATGAGTGAGACGACTCCTCTCCTGGGTGACGCGTGTGGTTTGGGGATGGATACTCTGTGCACATCTCCTCAAGTCTGGGAAAATTAAAACTTTCCTTAGAGAAAATCCTTCTAGAGAGGCACCTGGGATCCAGAATGGGCTGCATTCCCATCCTCCTGGGTCCGAGATGGCCAAATTACTATTAATTAATGGCTTTTAAAGGAGTGACTTTTACCTGCAGGCATTCAGCAGGTTGCTTTGAGAGAAATTCAGGAGAAATTCAGCTAAAGGAGCAAATGTGAGGCCCTGCTGGGTTTAACCCCCCCAAAAGCTATAAAAATTTCTCTTCAAATCCAGAGTCTTTAAGAGAGGATGGTTTTATTTCTAACAAAATGTTTTTAAGTAGCCAGTGGGGTTCAGGAGGAATTTGGTTCTCTGTAAGGACCCAAAGGAAAGTTTCTGATAACTCTATTGAGTGTGGGCTTTTTCCCCCCAGGTCATCCTCACATTGCTGCAGTTACCATGAAGAATGAATTCTGCAGTTAACTTCTGCTTCATCCACCAAGCTGCAACCACGCTTTCCTCCTGCTGGTGACGTCTGCTGTACACTCATCCATGACATTGGTGTGGTTGGGATTTCAGTCCCACAGCTCCAAAGATTGCTCACCCATATCGCCCTGTGTCTGAGCCTAATGACACTGTCCTAATCCCCCTTGCACGAGAACATCATTCTCTGGGTGACCGTCATGTACAGGATACTTGCGTGACCTGGCTTCAAAATAATGAAACTCCATCCCTTTGTATCAGACTTCTGCACTCAGTGAACACAAACTCCCAACTCTCCATCCCTGTGAGCGACCTCATTTGCTATTTCATGATTTTAAGGCATGATTTTATACCCTTTTAGAAAGCCTTGCTTTGGACCGCCTAGCATTTTACTGAGCCCCTCCAGTTCAAGGAGACGAGCACAGCAATGCAGCCAAGTTTTGTGGGTTTTCACTCTTCGTCAGAGATGGGGAAGCCGAGATCTCTTGCCGTGTCAGCTCCCCAGAAGCATGCAGCCCATGTGATGGTGCCAAAGTGACTGGCTGTCCCCTGAAGACAGACCTAGCACTGACTCAGGAAAGTCACCTTGAAAGGAGACAGGAGGAGATGCAAAGGGAGAACAGACTAAAGAGAAAAGTCTGTTTGACTTCACAGCACAGGAGAGGAAAAGAAAGGGGGCAAATTATTTCCTTCTCAAGCCCAAGCCTGGGCCTGATAAATGCTTTGATGCCTTATCAAATATATCAAATATATGCCCTACTTAGTGCAGAGGTTATGGTGATGATTGACTGTCATCTTCCATCACTGTCTGCATATTGGCACACAAGTGACACCTTATTCACTGCACCGAAACACCAGTGACAAATATTCCCTTAAGACTTTATGTAACTGAAGACTCAACAAAACAAATGACAGAGGGCACACAAGCTACTGGAGGTGTAGTGCGGTCCAGTGGCCTGCCAGTCTGCAGACATGGATGCTGCTCTGGGCTCCAGCTTCCACTCGGACCTTGGGCAAATCCCTCTCACTGCAGAAAGCCTCTTCCCATTCCTATGACTCTGATGTAACTGCTCTGACAGCTCTTCCTCTGTTGGGTCCCTCAAGCAAGTCATCCACAGACCCTCTGCCCCTGTGAACTGTCTCCTGGGCTTCAAGGGTCCTCTAAGCAGGTGCCACAGGTACAGGATGGAGCTCACCAGGCTGCATTAGGCAACTTAAAGCCAGCCTCCCTTTCCCCCCGGCTAATCGAAGAGAGGGCCATGAAACACGCAGGGCCACAGCTCTCCCTCGCTCCCCTCACCTGTCCAGCAATGCCCTTCTGCCTCTTCTCTCGGACGGTTGTGAGGTCCCTGTGCCACAGCTCCCTTTGCCTTCCAGAACAGACTGAACCATGGCGACTGGGAGCACAGGGGGCTCAGAGCAAGCCCGGCAGCCTGGCAGCGGGACATCAGGTTCGGCGGCGGCTTTCACTCCAGGGCTGACTGGCTCTTCCTTGATCAGCATGAGGCACTTCTCTCTGTATCAGAGACAAGAGTTAGCACCACACACACATCTGCTCCACAAAGGCCTCGTGCTACTCGTGCTACAAAGGGCGACAGCATGAGGGCTTGCCTCCACCCCTCATCAAACTGCCCACAGAGTCTTTCCATTCCCCTGGATGGGCAAAAGAAACCAGCAACCTTGGTTTTTTTTCAGCAAGCTCCAGAAACATACTCAGCTGGAATATCTTCACTCACTTCATCAGTCACGGCTATAACGAATTTGCCCCATTCGACTGTTTTGCAAATATGGAAAATACTACACTTCCCTGTGTTGATCATTCCTCAGATGAGTGTTAGGCTTGAGACAGGTTAAAGGGTCAGTAGGCTAGAGAGGTTCCCCTGAAAAAGAAAAATCTCCACCCTAGAGACAGGAATGGGATCAGCACCTTCCGTGCTGGAGTTAGGATTGGACCAGCAAGCACTCTAGAGATCCCAATGACACAGGTCGGGATCTTGTGGCCCTGCAGGATTTGGAACAGAACCTATCAAGATCTGACAGGCCCAGTCAGATATTTTACTTGTTTGGAAGCAGAGGTTTGCCTTTTTCCAGTGGGAGAGGCACTCCACATTATTCGTAGACGGACATATGACGTTGAAGTTTTGAACAGTAGCATTTTGTATGTAAAAATCTACTCTGTACTACTTACAGGAGACTTTACAGCTCTCTATGAAACTGCACAACAGGAGCCAAAGTGACAAAGGCACGTAGATCAACAGGCACAGGGCATGGGAAGCCATACTGAAAAAATATTATCTTATACCACTTACAGACTAGCTTTGCTGCAAGACAACACATGAGCATGTCACACATACAGGATGGTATGTGACACTACAAAGCCTTCGTTGGCATTCCTTTCAGATCATCTTCTCATCTTGTGAATCCTAAACTCCCACCAGAAGCTCATGTTGATTTAGGAAGCACCACACTCCTGAACTCATTAGGGCCGTGGCTGGCTCAGCTTCTCGAGTCATGTAGACACAGCATAGATCAGAGGCCACCAGATGGCACTCAGTAATTAGTAGAAATAAGCAACTAAACTTGAAGGTTATATTAAAATTTTTCTGCTTTAGAAATGGTTTCCAGTTTGTGGGGGGGGTTTTGTTTTGTTTTTGGTTTGTTTGTTTCTTTTTTTTTTGTCTGGAGCTCTTTACATGCTTCTAGCTAATTTTATGGTTATGGTTTCAATTATTAGGCAGATTTACAGGCCATTTCTAGAGTGTAACTGCCTTGCCTCTATGCCTGAGAAACTGTTTCCATGATTCATCTGTCTACTTACTTTCCACTGACATAGTTGTAGCTATTCTGCTACTAGCCCTAAATACACTGCATGTCTGTGGCAGGAAGAGATAAGCATTAAAATACCTCTGCATTCTTAAGTTACTGGGACCTTTTCACAGAAAAGTTGTCAAACATCGGAAGTTGTTGTGATGCAACCTTTCTGTTCTCATTAGAAAGATGTACAGTTTGATTCTGTTTCTTCTTTGTCAAAGCCAAAAGGAAACTTCCTTTCTCTCTGTCTCTCTCAACAAACGCAAGTATCTCATTATTTGATAAAGTCTGAGACAGCCCCTGTCTTGAGAACAAAATATAAAGAAGCATGGAATACTTCTCAAAGAGGTGAGTGGAAGTACTCAGCATGAAACTCATTACTTTGTTTCAAAAGTTATGCTGCTGTTATCCCTCCCTAATTCTGAAAATCTGACCCACATTGCAAACTGGAGAAAAATATTCCAGCCCACCATCTCTATAGAGAATGTGAATCAGACAGAAACTTTGGTAGAACTACAGCCAGGAAACCCTGTTTTGAAGTTATGCAGGTCCATACCTGACTCTCCCTGTTTTTAATCACAAATGTGTTTACCTGTCATTTTCAGGAGGGGATTGCATATTTATTATGTTGGATGGTGATGCTTCAGTAACATCAGATATGATGGGTCCTCCAGCAATTGCAGGGCTGTTTAAGCAAGAGGCAGGTTCTGTCGATGGCTAAGAGGAAAGCAAAAATTGTATAGATTTAACCTCCTGAGGACCAGAAAAAGTCCAAAGCCCTATCTGAGATAGGTAGAGTTTACTCACTGTGCCCTTGAGACCTCCTTGTATGGAAACCAAGAAAACTTTTACCTACTATGCAACCTTATAATTTCCTCTGGTCTTTCCTCCAACCACACAGAGGTGCTGATGTAAAATAAGCACCGTCACTGTAGTGTCAGCTACTGAGAGGTTTTACCGTGTCTGACATTTTGCCTAGACTGCTTGGCTTCCTCTGGAGGAAGAGATCCAAGAGAGCCCCACTGGGGAGCATGGGTCTCTCATGCCAGCTCAAGTATTTTAACTGCATGACATGTGTCACGTGTCTGGTGTCTGCTCTGGTGGGTTAGGGTGGTGGGGATCCCTCAGCAACCGCAAAAATCTGGCTCTGGTCAGAAAGATCATAGTACCCTCTTCTAGAACATGCTGCTTCCTCTCTGCCCTTGAAGTGAGCCAGGCTGGAGTAACACCACGGAGAATTTGGTGTGCGGGGTCTGCCTTTCCCTCCCACAACCCATGGCCTCCCACATGAACACGACAGCACAAGCACATGCAAGCATGCACCCCTCCCTGGAACAGGGGAGCTGAAGAAATAATAAAAGTCAGCTTTACAAACCTCTTCTCTTCTTCACTGCCAAGCTCTTGCCAAACTACTTACTCTGTAATCCGTATTATTGCTTCAAACATTTTTCCCCCCTGGCCAAAGAAATCCCAGAGGCTGACGTAAACCTACCGACTGTATGAAATAGGCATCATGGAGGGGGTCCGTAGACAAATGCCGGCTGAACTTGGACACTTGCGGAGCTGAGATCCCGTTGTCAAGCATCAGAGGTCTGCAAAGAAACAGGTTTGTCTTCCCAGCCCATACTCACTGGTTCGTGGTTTCTCATACAAGAAATGTCTCTCAGCCAAGGGTTGGTTTCCCATGGGTAGTCTGTTTTGCCTCAGCTGTAAGGTACTTTCTTGTCCAGTGTTACGGACAAGGAAGGGAAATAACAGTTTTGGAGGAGGTCACCATTAACAAAGGGCATTAGCCTGGGTTTTCTAGATCTTATTGGAAAGATGCAAGTAAAATAACAAATTCAATTCATATTTTGAATTGAACAAATTCAATTCGTATTTTCTTCTAATTGCTAGTGGTTCCAAGCTCTGGGCTGGATCCTCAGCTTGTTTAACTGGAGGTAATAACGCTGAAGTTATCAGTGCAACACTGGAATCTGGCCTTGTTACCAGCTCCCTCGTGCCCAGGGCCTCTTTGGCAAAACTACATCTCCTTACATACCACTGCATAAAAGGAACCCCTGCCACCCACTAAGTAAGTAAACAGGGGGAGACACAAAGCAAAGCAGAGCCTAAACTCATTGCATACAGGCTTTTAAAAAATGACTGCAGGCTTTTACAGATGGCCACTGACAACACGAAGTGGGTCTGCATGCTGGGTCCTGTAGCAGGAGTGGTTTATGTTTAAGTAAATGGTTGAAACCAAGAGAAAATGAGAAGGAGCCTCAAAACGGCACTGCCTTTCCATCATGAAACTTCCTGGCTGGCAGTCCTTGGTTTTGTGATACAGTCCCAGAGAAGCTGGGAACTGGTATATTTTGCTACACACCCACTATTGTTTAATGCTGTGATGATCCTATAAAACTGCCTACCAAATCCCTCTTCTCCCACTGTCCCACAGTCAGGAGAAGCATCTTCAGTGTTCATTTAGAAGACAGTGACTTGGCTGAGGACACCAGGGCAAGCCAACAGTTTTTTCCACAGTAATGTCTAACAGGCTCAGCAAAAGATAATTTCTAGCTCCCTTCATCCTACAGACACTGGAGCTGGATATGTTGGGAGAAATTATGGGTTTGCTCAGACTTCAATGAGATCCCAGAGTGAAGGGCATTATACAGCAGGACACAGTGACCATGGGTGCTTGAGATCTCAGTGTTGTCTAACAGCTTGTTTAACAGCCTTTTTCTATTCTGTGATTTTAACTAAAGACACGGAAGAAAAAAGAACATTTGAATCACCCTGACATGGACCTTGTTATGGCATAAGCTACCCTTCAGTACACACTGAGATATCGTAGCCAGCCCTGCGACAATTACAAATTTTTAAGTGTCCTGCTCTCTGCTCCGGGAGCCACAAATGAACCTCCCCATCCAACATTTCTAATCAAAGTAACTTTGGCATCTCACCCACCTAACAGCCTCCCAGGTCAGACATGCTTGCGGGACCTACAGCCGTGCCCATCCTGTCCAAACCTGGCCAGAGCGCCCAGTCAGCACTCGGGTCTGCGCCAACAGTTGCTCCAGGCTGTACACTATGCTTTCCTGCACTCACTTAAAAGACAGGCAGGAAAACAAAACTCTGAAAGATTAAAACATTAGAAGTGCAGATATAGATACAAGAGCTGAGGTTCCTTGAACACAGACCTTTGTGTTTCCAAGGAAGCAGAAACTCGAGTTAACATGCACAATACTGTGCAAGCTGGGTTGTATCAGTGTGATCCCCTCTTCATCAGGAGGCCGACACAGTTGCTGTGCAGATAGTTCTGTGCTCTTCTGCCCCTTTCAGCACAGTTCCTCACTAATGATTTGCTTTTTTCAAAAAGCAGTAGTCTAAGACAACATTTCTTGGGCTGCAAGTCTTTTACAGGGAGGGCATGGCCCTGACTGTAGAAATTAGAGATCAGATCTGGCATCTCGTTTCTCTGCTTCCCCACTCCACTGGAGGAAAATTTTCCCACTCATGAACCTCAGTGACTCAGAGCAGCTGATATCCTCCCCTCGAGCCCTCTTCTTTGCTACCATTCTCCGTGCAGTATTTATCCCTTCTAAGAGGCTCAGTAGAGGGGGTAGGCAGAGGTAAGAGCACCCAGCTTGCTTATACAGATTATGGGCTCCTTCCTTCAATCCTGTGTTTCCTTTACAGTCCTCACAAGAAGAGTCAGCCAAGAACAAGGACATTGACTTCAAGAAAATAAACCCCCTTGAGCAACCATTCCTGGGAAGTCCAGCTCCTTTCTCTGAGGCATGGAGAAGGTTCTGAGTCACCAAAGGCCACGAGGTAATACAGGTGGGAACTGGAGGCAGGTCCCTGCCCTCAGCCTGAGCCCCAAAGGCAAATTCCTCTTAGTAGCCCCTCTCCCCTCTTTAGATCACAAGCACCACAGAGCAAGAAATGCATGGCTGCTCTCCTGGAAGGCACTAAGCTTCCTAATTCAACCTCCTCTCTTCACTTGCCCTGAAGAGCTTATTTATGACTCTAAAGATACCCCTAGCTAAAACCTTTCTCCACCTTTCTCTCTGTAAGGCCTGCAGGTTGCATGCCACCAAACCTGTGTCAGATACACACCCCACTCAGTGACTGTGGGTCAAACTCAAGGTGTCTGTGGGCTGGCTGGGCCCAGCCCTGCTCCCACTGATGACAAGTGGCAAAACCGGAACCTGTAGGACCAGCAGCGGGGTCCTGCCCTTTACCCTCCCACTAGTTAGCGATCCCATCTCGCTCTGTATTCCCCAAATAAAGGTCACGAGCTGACACGGTGCTTCTCTAAAGACCACTGAATGGGGCATGTCAGCAGGTCTGACTCGGCAATTCAGCCCATTCATTTCCCATCACCATGGTGCCCTGGTCCGGTGACTGCCTGCCTGGGCGAGCTGAGCTTGTGCTTTTAGTGAGGGGGCAGCATTATGCACCCGTGAGCGTGTGCGCACCACACAAGGGTACTTACAGCTTCCTCTTTATCCCAGTGCTGCTAGGGCTTGATTGGAGCTGGCCAAACAGAAACTGAATCAGCTGTCAGGAGATATCAAAATCCAGTGTTAATCAGCAGAGTGATTCAGCACTCCCTGCTCTCGCAGCCATTCTTACCCCACACGTTCCTCCCTCCCTCCACCACCCCAAAGCTGGGAGAAGCCATGAGATATGGGAGCCAAATTGCGTGAGACATCAGAGCCCAAAACCAAACTAAGCTTTCCAAGAACTCAAACGACCTGCCCAGCTTTCAAGAAACACAGCCAGGTGCCTGCTTTGTGCGAAGGCTGCTAGATGCACGTGCTCAGCACTTTCTCTCTCCAGTGCTGTGTATGCAGAACTCCAGCTAGCCCTATTAGACTCAGGAATCTGCCTGTGAAGTACACATGCAAACATTCCTAGGCCTGGGGTTAGACTTGGCCTCCGTAAAAGTCTTTAGAGACCTTTATAAGAGGCTCTACAAAGTGTGACAAAGACTTTGCAAGTGAAAGAGGCAACCCCCTAGGAGAGACCCTGGATGGAGGTCTTAGCTCTTTCAGATGAGTTTTTCAGCCCTGTGAAATTCAATGTTGATATAACAGGACACGAAAAAGGATGCAGAATGGCTTTGGAGAGGAATCACCTAGCAACATATTCCCAGGTCAGCTTGAGCCTAATGCTCTGCTTTGACCTCCAAACAAAGAGAGCATTATTATTATATACCGCAGCTGTCTCTTACTCATTGCTCAATACAACAAAATAGAGTTGCATAAATGCCTCTACAGTGAGTGGTCCAGCCTCAGAGCTGGAGGAAGGTTTGATAGCCTCCTGCATTTCTCTCCAGTCCTATGACTCTGAGATGCCATGTGAGGTCAGAACATGGCTCTCAGGGGGGACTGGGGAATGTGACATGCTCAGTCACGTCGGCACCGTCTGGGAATCACTGGAGAGGCCTTTTCCAGTACTGGTCATGCTAGATTTTAAGGGAGATGGCTCCGCAGTGCTCCTTCAGTCTAAAAGGTTGTACAGCAATTCCTCAACTATACCAGTAACACCAGAAAATGCTACAGTTGCTGGAGGTCCCCACTGGGGAACGGCTAGCCAATTCTGCTGCCTGCAGCTTCAGTGCTGGCAGGAGGGGGCGGCTTAAGAGGAAGCCCAAAGGCATCGGTACAACCAGAACACAGCCAACACAGGGCAATTAATTAGTGAGAGTTGTGCTCTCTTGGTCAGGACTTCGACAGAAAAGTGGTTTCTAACATCACAGCAAGGACTGACAGGGAAATTAAAATCTTTTGCTCGAGGGCATAATCTATGCTTCGTTAATGACCACTTTCCATCATCAAAGATGATGGAAACATCAAAAATGTTCAAAAGAACATCACACAATTTGAAAGAGAGGGAAAATAAATGTACTGCAATATCAGAGTGTGGAGAAGATTATGGGACAAGGAAAAAAAAATCAGAGGAGGACATACACCATGCAGTACAAGTGAGTTTGGAGTTTATATGACCACTACCTTGTTGATCACTTTCTGCTGCTGTGAGTGGTTCTGCCGGAGAGAAACAACCTCCCGCCAAAGAACTTCATTTTGCCTGAAAGTGAAAGAGAAACTTGCCGTGAGCACAGAAACATCCCCACAGCCCATGGTGCTGCCGTGATGCACAGCAGACCCAGTCGTGCAAAGTCTGTCTCACTTTGGGGCTCTTGCAGCGCTTGGCTCTTTTCAGGTGTCCCAAACAGGGTCACACAATTGCTTTCCTTGTTTTTCCTTGACCTCAAAAAAACTACAGACCAAAGCATGGAGGAAAAACAAATAAAGAGAAGCCAACATCTATAGGGGAGCGTATTTCTATAGGACACCTATTTCTATAGGACATCTATAGGACACGTACTTAGTTTTTGTGGAACATTTGGGCCAAACTCAGAATTTCAGCAGGGCCTGATTTGTGACTTTGAATAATTTGGATCACCAAGACTGTTCCTTCTGCGGGAGCCAAGAAAGCCCAACCTCTCCACAACTGCCCCTGAAGACCAAGAGATCCTAGGGACGGAGGTCCTATGTATTCTGCCTGCTGAAACCTCATACGCGTGGTGGTACAAAGGCACGTTTGGGAGCGACTGAAGCAGCTAAAGAGATGCTTCTGTATCCGAGAGCCTTGAACTAGGAGGACTGTAATGACTTCATTAGTGGGAGTTACTGATTTCATCCAGCACAGACCTGTGTCTAGCTTGCAATTGCATCAAGTATACTTATTTTCTGTCTGTAAATATAGCACACAGGGGAGTTACAGGCTTCCTTGAACAGTCAGCCCCAGAAAGTGGGATGAGGAGGTGCAGAGTTTCTTTGCTGTGCTGCCTCCAAATCTGGATGCCAGCCAAGTCCTTGCTGAAAAAGGTTTTTCCAGTCAATTTATCTCCAGAGTATATGGATGTACCAAAACCGACAGGCCAGCAAAACCTATCATACAGGTGAAATTTAGAAATCCTTTTGCTACATATCCCTTAGGTGGTTTTAGTCTTTCTAGTGTGGATTGATGCTAGAACTGGGAATATAAAGTGCAGGGCTCGAAAGAGCACAGCAGCTGCCCTGGTACAGCAGCTTCTACAGCGAGAATCTCTGCGGTGAACTTTCTGCACCGGTACTGACAGGCTTTTCAGCAAAGCAGCTTTCCTTAGTCTGACAGCTGGCACTGGAGTTATGTCCTAATGGGTCCAGTGTGAATTTCTTAACATGGTTTCAGCCTGAGATTTCTGGTCTGTCTTAGTTTATAAAAATTGTATTATTTTAATCAGTTGAATGCAATTTTGCCTTTTGCCAGATGGAGGAAGGGAGCAAGCAAATAAAAAGGGAGAATAAACTAAAAGCAAAGCCAAATCATCAATACTGGAATTCCTTAAAAATTAAATAAGATACAAGCCTAGAAGCTCTTTCATTGCCACTGTACCTGGATTTCATGATTCCATGCATGTGCTAAGTGTGGGAGTCATTAAAATTTGAGGAAGGATAAAAACATTTATCTGTTGCAAATAAGGGGCTGGGCTGCAATGAAGTTTCACAGTATCTGGTGTTCTCTCAAGGCCCAGGATGCCAGTGTCCTCTGGTAATGCAGGAATATCAGCTTTCATTATAAAAGAAGTTTTTAGGTCTTATTGTTTAAAAAGCACTTGAAAAAAATCTAAGTTTTCTGTAAGGATTAAAATTCTGGAGGCAAATAAAAACCTCTCCAAGTATGTGATTTATAAAACCGTATCCATTTACTAAATTCCTAGTGACCATGTCTGACTGAGAAAATCCCAGTGTCTCAGACAGCTGGAGGTCAGGTGGCCACGTGTAAGAAGCATTGCATATGCTTGTTTTGCTCTTATACAACAATTTTGGCCATGTCAGAAGACAGAATCTTCAGAGAGATGGACTAAACACTCCAGCAGTTCTTGTGTTCTTATATACTTGAGGCCAGTCATATCTTTTGGAGGTCGGGAATGACAGAGAGAGATTTTTCATTTTTTTGATAGCTGGAGTGGGCACCACCACATTTCTGCCAAGGACTCTTCTAGGTGTTGAGAAAGAGTTACATCTCTTTTTACCATCATTTCTATCTGGAGGAAATACAGTTAATGTGAGCTAAGTCCCTAGGTTATACACATACTTCCTGCATGGCCCCCCCTGTGCTTTCCTCATCTGTAAAGGGAAAATATAGATGAAGAGAATATGGCCACCCTTCACAGAAAACAGAGCGGCTGAGCATTAATTCATTTTGTAGATCATGGGGTCTGCATAGAATCCTACATGTTATTGTCTCACCAGATCTAGTCCCTATGACTAGTCCCCGGCTCAGCGTGTGCTCCCTGGGAGGGAGGTGTGTAAGGCTCCTCCTTTCAAACATTCCCCCAGGATCAACAACTCTCGAGAAGCAAATGCCCGTAAGAAGCAGCCTGAGTAGGATTCAACTCACTGCTTCATGTCCTGCACTTGACACTCCATGTTCTCTTGCTGACTTCTCAGTATCTGTACCTCGTATAGCAACCTGCTGAGGTCCTCCTGGCGCATCTTGGTCTCCTCACTTTTCACTACCGACACCTGAGGAGGAAAAATCAAAGGTGGATTTTACCAACACAAGAAGGGCATGGGCAGACAGAGTCATTGCTGTGGTTCAGGTGCAGGACTTCCACCAGCCGGGTTCTGACGCGCAGAAATATTGGGGCAGGCGATGCGTGCACAAGAGTCTGAACTATCCTTAGGGTATTACTGCAAGGGTCAAAGGGATAAAATAGAGCAAAGAGCCGGAAAAATGGGTCTGTTGGCAGTAGGACATTCTCCACTAGAGTGGGGACTTGCTTCAAATCAGCTGGGGGGAAGGTATTTTGAGGAACAGGGCAGAATTGAACTAGGTATTTGATTAATTCTTTCTACTTTAACTACAGAGAGACCAAATCCAGCCTCATGTTTTACAGGAATGAGCCTGAGGAACTGCTTTAAACTGATATATTACACTTGGATTTCCAGAAGGCTTTTGCTGAAGTCTCTTTTCTGAAGTCAATATGCTAATTCAGTAAGAGAACAGCCCTTTTTGGGCATCAATAACAGGTTAAAAGATAGCAAACAGAAGGTAGGAGTAGGTTATTGCTTCTATAATAACAGGAGATGACTGTTGGGAGACCCAGCAGGAGTTATGCTGCACTTATCTAGAAAAGAGGGTTAACGATTCAAAAGCAGAGCGGTGTGAAGCAAGCCTGGCCACGCAGCACTACACGAAGGTCTCGTGATACTGAGTGACGGAGCAAAAAAACACAGACAAAACTCTGATGGAAGCCAAGCCCTGCACCGCCGAAGACCCCCGCCCCAACCGTACGTGTATCTGGAGAGGACAGAAATCCAGCACACAGGGTGTTGGAGTTATGCTGAGCGGTCTGTAGCATGGCAGCCCGTGGTCTGAAAGCAAAGAGGCATTTTAGGAGTTATCAAGAGAGGAATGCAGCTGTGGTAGAAGCCCTCACAATGACCATGGAGGGCTGTTCTGGTCAATCCGCCCCAAAAAAGGGACATGGGAGGATTAGAAAGGCCCAGGGCAGAGAGCCACGGCGGCAGGCACGGAAGGGCTCCTGCCTGGGGGGGAACAAGGCGTTTCCC